TGTTCCCCCCCCCCCCCCCCCCCCGCCCCATCGATCATATGTGGTTCCAAGCATTAACTCTAAACACTTACTTATCATACATATCCCATATAAACCCCTTACTTGATGATTTCTGAATTTTTCATATCAGTGAGTTAAATAAATATCAATGGGAAAGTGGGAGAAATGGATACCAACAAGATATCAATAGCTGCACAATACTGCTTTTAACAGTGTATTTTCAATACACATTGATAAGTAACAGATGTTTAAGTCATGGCTGATACCTAGTGGTCATTTTATATAATCACCACCAGGATGGCATTTTATCAACTACAAGCCTCCTGTAAAACATATCTAAGATCACCAGCTATCTCAAGGTAAAGGATATAAAAGAAAGGTAAGGCTAGTTTTAAGTATTTGTAGGTTTGTTTTTTTTTTTTCAACTGAAATGGAAATAGTAAGGCAAAACACCAGTGTGTATCTGTTCTTCAATTTACCTCTGAGTCCACAAAATGCCTCTGATAATAATGGAAGCCTCTTCGACATAGATTACAGTGGTTCAAAGCAGTCTTCAGGAAATATCTTCTATAAATTTGGTGCCATGTGTCTTTAATCTATGAAAACAGTATTCTAATTTGACTACATACATATGCTATCGTGCATAGTTTAATGATCACATTTAATTTTAAAATATAACTCCAAATTCCACTATCACTGTCACGTAATATATATTTAAATATTTCTCAGCAATTTGCCTGCAACTGGGATATGATTAATGTTAGTTACATTTGGCAAACATTACAGATGATTGTCAATTTAAAAATCTACTCTTCCATGCTTGCAACATAACTGAATGCTTAAAAATATTGTCTGCAGCCAAAATGCATTTAAATTATATACTATAAAACAGGACAAATTGCTCTGCTCTTGGCATGATGCAATCTTTACAATAACACCGAGAATACATTTTTGAGTGGTACTCATTAATTTATCAATTAAAACAGATTAAAGCATAGAGAAATATTTAATGGGTCTTATGTAAACAAACATTTGTAACTTTTCTTGATTAGGCTTATTTATGTTCCAGTTCTTCAAAAAACATGCATATAGATATGGCTTTTTAAAAAAGCCCATAAATTACAAAAATCAGTTGCTTAGCTAGAAAAGAGACTCAATTTGCAGTCAGTCTCCTCGTATCCCCATCAGAGGATGGGAATGACTACTCTGACATTTACAAAAAGGTATGGTAAGTGCTGTATAGGAAAGGGGCAGCAGGTATTTAAATAACTCTTCTACCTTGAGTAAGTACATGTATTAATGTTGAAAAGGTAGCCAAAGTTACTGCAGAAAATAAATCACTGTTTAAGGAAATCTACATCTATTGCTTGTTAATGTTTGAATTCTCATTTACTTAAAATCTTACATTTAATTAGATAAAAGGTCTAATTATGGTTAAGAGCCTTACACTGCAATGAGATAAATCATTTTCCAGAACGTTTTAAACATAGAATACATTCCCTCAAGGCACTCTAAAAACCCCTGCCTTTTTCGAAGTATTTTTAGAAAATTTCCCTCTCTTCAGTGTACCTATGAACTTCAAACTGCACATATAACCACACTGAAAGCTCAGGAATGCACAGTATGTTTTTATCATATCTTGCTCACAAAGGCCTTGATTCCACACTATATAACATCTGAACAATAATTTTAAACAAGCCTTGTCATAATGCAGGTGAGAAAATCTGCACAGCAGATTCTGATTTCAGTCTAAACTGACAGATTCCAAAGTGTTGTACTGCATTTGTCTGACAGCCAACAGAAGTGTGTGAATTGCGTGCAAGCAGTCATTTACTAATTCATTTGGAAACATCTGGATTACAAATTCAGTGTTTAGATGGAGTCTTTTGTATGCTATCTAGAAGGAACATTCAAATGTTCCAGGGGGCTTCCATATGTTCTGTTACAATTCTGCATCTTACCAGACACGGGTCCACTGCTATTCCTCTTGCTTCAAGATTCTTTCTGACAGTCGTCACTTCATCATTTGCCAGATAAGCTGCATGTTCTTCATTGCATTTGATTAATTTCTCAAGTTCATTTTTTGTTTCGTTACGAATATTCTAGGATAAGAATAGTTAGAATTAACTATTACAGACTCAGAGTTCATCAGCACCTCCTCAATAAACAGTCTACCTGCTTAACAAGCCAGAACAGAAAATACCTTTGACACTATTAACTACTACATTTAAGTGACTCAAAAGGGTACTTGTGCAAAGACATCTCAAATATAGTATTTTTAAATGGATAATTCACTGTCAATTTGTCATATTTTTTTCTTTTCATTATGCACAGAAATGCAGAAGAGGAAGAGAAAGGTGGAAAACATAATCATAGGTGCTAGCCTCCTTTCCCCTCCATGAACATCCGCTAGCAGGGTTCACATTCACGTATCACCTGTGACACTGATGAGAATGGTAATTTTGCCTAACAGCTAGCAAGAACTGTCCATGGATTCATACCTTTATTATTTGTATTATTATTTATTATTATTCATACCTGTATTACCTCTATTATTATTATTATATTCAAGTAAGATAGGTTGAAGTCACTGCCTTTCTCCCATACCTGGCTGCACACAGTTGACTGTGAAACTCCCTCTGAAAAAATTACTTTCTACTGTATTCTTTTAAACTCTGCTTACTTCCTTAAAGCATGATTCAGTTTGAGAAATATCTAGAAAAAGTAACATAAAAAGCCCATCATCTCTGGGCATTGAACAGAAGGTGCTATTTAAATTCAAAAGAAATTTCCAAAAGCTATGAGCAAATGAGAAGAGACGTTATGATGAAAACGGTCAATCAGAAGATACAACTGCGACTAGAATGCTAGTGACAATGCTATCACATGCTAATTAAATCCAAATGGAGCATGATGGGGAACTGCATGCAACTTCTGCTTAAAAGGCATGCTTGGAAATTATAGAAGAGAATAGCCCAGTTTCCACCCCATTTCCATCAACTTCTTTCTAAAAGTCAGGTCAATGGCATAATAGTAAAGATGTAATTCAGTTAAAGAATGAAAAACAGTTTACAAACCACTATGTACCTACAATATGAAAAAAAGTGTATCAAATTCTCTGTGGTGTAATATTTAAAACAATGAATAGAAAAAGCAATTGTGAAGTATTTAAAAAATTTTTTTTTTTGCAATCATCTACATAGTGTGAAGAGGGTTGGTATTTTTGAAAATTTACTGAGTAATAATCAAAGTTTTCTAAAGGTAGTGAACTACAAATTCTTTATATATATTTTTTTTTTTTTCCTTTTACCTGCTCTTTGGTGCGTCCTATCCAGTATAACCACCTTTTTTTCCAGTCTGGACCCACCATATCTTCAATAACAGATTCAGCTAAGAAAGGAAACATAATGTTAAGTGTTACTCAAAATATATGTAACCAGCCAAATTTATAATTCTAAAATTAGGTACAAGATCAAGAATGAACATTTTATGCCCAAGAACATAAGATATGACACTCAAGTCAGATGTCTTTTATTTACGGCTACAGTTGATGTCTTTTACTAAAATTTAAAAGTGACTGCAGACCAGTAGATACTTCAATGAAGTACCTAAAAAAAATTGCATCCCTCCACTGATACAGCCCTCTAGGTTCCAAGTCAGGTGTTTAAAAATCTTACCTTGTTACAAGTTGCATCAAAATTAATTATGCTTGATAACCATAAATGGGCCAACTACTTTCCCTGAATTTATCCTATTCTTCTACCTGTGTATCTGTACCATTTTTTGGCTCTACTGATCTCTATTACTTATCTTTCAGTTGCCTCATTGCACTAGCTTTTGAGGCTGTATTTTGCTAAACATTTCTATCAGTGTCAGTACCATCTTAAACTGTCACCACTGTCTTGGTTGCGCTGATAGAAAAGCTTGCACTGTAGTGAAGTGAACCAGATCTGGAAATTAGCCCAGATTAAAAAGCACGCAAGAGTGGAATACATCACACAACTCACTGTCTTTGAGACGACTTTGGAGCGTCTCTTCCATAAAATGAATAGCTGCATCCCACTGCTGTTTGTCAGATATTGACCGATCTTCTAAGGCATTGTGCTGGATGACTCGCTGCAACACAGAACATCGCTTTAGCATACAATAAATTACTTATTCAGGATTTAGTAAAAAAAAAATATTTCTGACATTCTCTTCATTTTTTGATGTCTATAAAAATAGCATACATTGGGCACACAGGATTTATTCAAGAGGCACCTTTTCAAAGCACTGCCAAAAAATATTTTCTTATGCCTTTCCTTTGACTCTCTTCTATAGCCTAGCATAAATAATGTAAAAAAATACAGCAAACAATATGAAATCCCTCCAGATTACAGAATCTATAAAGATGCTAATGAAATGCTGTTATTTTACATGGCTATACTTAACAGAACAAATGAGCTGATGCTAAACAATTCTCACAAGACTGTGCTTTGGCAGCCAGTGGATTATGGAGGACTTTTTCCTGAATCAACCAAAACAATTTCATTAGATGTTATTTAGGGCAATAATTAACAAAAAGTAATAATAAAATTAATTGAGAAACACTGAATGAAAGTATTATCTAGAAAAGGAGAGATGGACATGTCACTATCATTTTATGATTACATTAAAAAAAAATGCAAAAATACTGAATATGCAACTTCAGTAAGAAGATTTCAACAGCACTTAAGTCAACAATGCAAAAAAACCCACTACATTGTACCAGGCTATCCTCTGCTCTCTCATTCCATTTATGTCGTTTAATACTTTCTTCTTTGACAGCTTGTTTCAGTTTATCAAAGATATCATCATGCTCTTTTCCTTTTTGTTCTGTCATGAAACGGGAAAATTCTTCTTGCAAAGTCTCCCATGCCACCTAGAAAGTTAGCAAACAATAGTTACTGAAATGGACCATTATACCATGCACCAGCTGGTAAAGGAACATTTATTACAATTCTTGCAAGTATGAAAATGTGCATACTTTCTGAAAACAATGTACAAGCATAAGAGCAAGTAATTGACTTTTCTTTACTGCCTTATCCATTACTAATAAAGTCAACACTAAACTTTGCTTCGCTATGTTGTAGCAAGTGGAATTCTGTTAAACTTGCATAAACCTATTAAATATGAATATATGTAGCTTGAAGGGTTTGTTTAACCTTTTAAAAGGAGGGGGTTTTTGGTCATTAATAGGCAAAATTAACCAGAAGAGCAAAATACAATGTTCCTGCTGTATATGCTTCTCAACATCAAGATCTTGCTAGCCTTTTCTGACATGTAAACTGGTTAGAACAACTGTAGTCAGCCCTTCAAACCACCACCTTACTTCTCTGGAGCTATGCTTTCATTTCAACTTTGCATATAATTTTTAATTTTTTTTTTTTAAATAACTACATTCTCACCTCTACTGCTTTATTAGGCAGTTGCTTGTCAGTCCACTGCTTCAGTTTGATGTCCACAGTGGTGTTAAATGTCCCTGAGTTCATAGTCTGTGCTGCTGGAAGGTAGATATTCTCAATCACATGAGTAGATACCCTCTCCCATAAAGTTTTCTGAAGAATCTCCTCCCTAAAATAGAAGGTTATAACACATATGATGGCTTCCAATACAAAAGTGTCTAACAAGTATGCATTCAATTTGTTAGAAACACTGAAAAAACAAGACTACAGAACACAGGAAATACTCCTTAACATCAGGAGACAACTTCAACCAAAATCCACTTGGAACTAAGGACACAAACACATAGTGTTTCAGCAGCAAAGACAGCTTCAGAAGTTGGCCTCTACGACTCTTATGGCTGCCACTGCAATGCACAACAGTTCCTTGCAGCGTTTAATTATACCAGTATAACCATGCAGAGCTGTGTGCGCATATGCATGGCAGGTGGGGGAACGACAAGGGGGCAGACTGTAAAGCATTGAAATGATTTAACTAAAAAGTCCACATTCCCAAAAAAGCATGTGGGTTTTGTTTCTGTAGTATTCTGATTTGTTTGTTGGAACATGCTGTAGTTTTCCATCTGGGATTTTCATTGATTTTTCCCAGATTTGATAAACAATGAAGCAAGTTGAGAAGTCCAACCTTTTACCAAAATGTATACTGACATTCATTTATAAACGTGCCTCATGTCACTATAAAACTAAGCACCACTTTCCTATTTATGATGCGTTTCAAAAAGTAACAATGGAAACAATCTAACCTTTTAAAATGACAATAAACTTACTCAGGAAACTTTGCAGCTGCAGTGAGACAACTCAGCTGACCAGTGTAACATACAGCTGGTATGTACAGAGGCAGTCATGCTCCTTCTGCTCCTGCCACAGTCTCCAGTACAGGTTGTGCATTTCTTGCAGGTCAATTTTATGCTAGATCAGCATGTTAAATCAGCTTACCAACAGGTCATATGAGTGCCAGACTTGGTAGAATTGTGAGATGCCAGAGCCAAAGAATAAAAACTGCCTTTTTTTGGTGGTACAAGACTATCAGATTCACTCAAGCCCCTTTCTTCCAAATGGGCTGAAGTTCAAGACACAAGCCTCATCCCTGATAATGCCCCTACTCTAACTAGGCCATCTGTGGACAAGGACTGAAGAACTTCTCGTAAATATCACTCCTCCCCGTGTTTCAACAATGGCATAATTGAAAATTTCTCTTTTGTGTTTAAGGCATCCTTCTTCGTGATTTAAAAATTCTGAAGCTGTTCTTCTGACATACCAGTATAAATGGCAATCAAAGCCACTAGTTTTTCTACTGTTGGAACAGATCTTTGGCATATTTGGGGTAGTAAAAGTATTCATACAAAACTGAAAGGAACTCAAGCATTTAAATGTTGAAAGAATTCACTATAAATAAAAATTAATATTGCCACCAGTAAAAAATGTTTTCCTTAAAAAGCTTTGTTCAAAATAGGATGATTTGGATAGCGTTCAAACAAAGACCAATTATCAATCATTCTTGATCGCCATTAAAAGAACTGGGGACGTGTCACATTAATTTCACTTACAGGGTGTGCTGGAAACCATTAGGCATTTTACCACTTACAAATGCACTGTAGGAGAAGGGCAGCCCTCCGATTAAGAACAAATGCAATCTCATTCCTTCTTTACTGACATGTCAATAAAAATATACTTTTGCTTTGCTTAATTCAATCAAACTTAATGGGAAGCAATAGCAATCTTAACAGGACAGAAACATTTGCATTCATCAAATCCACTGCTGTTTTTAGGCTGCATATAATGGCTAACAGAAGCATTTTTTCATGACTTAGATTTCCAGTTCTACTTTATAGCTCATTAAGTGTTATACAACTAGAATCACCACTGCATTTTAACTTTCAAAAGAAATGCACAGAAATATTCATGTTATGCACCCACCCAATCCACAACATAAAATGAAGCAGACTAGACACGGGCTAGCGTACTTCAGCATCTATTACACAGTGAACAACAGCAAACGCCAAAATGGCAAACTTGCATTCCATTTGGACTAAGACATAACTTCAGACTAATATGCTGCCTACAACATGTTCTCTGAACACATCCACATGCCCAGAATTATTCTAATATCATTAAGAGTCAGACCTTTTATCTTGGTTTTTAATCTATGACCAAGTAACAGTTCAATTCAGGTCACTGAAGGCAAAGGCATTAAAGAAATATTTTTTTCATGGTTCTCAGTTGTGGTACAGGCTGTCAAAGTAATCCTTTACATTGGCTATTCTCCTCTCAGCCTGCATTTACAGTGGCTTTACTATGCAGTGATGCTACACTGTTAAAATAGTTAGGCTAAACTCTCCTTTCACACCTATGTCTACCTTACGAAGTAGGCCAGTGTAGTATGGTGCTACTTGGTTGAGGTTACCAAAGAGATCCACAGGTAGGATGAAATTCTCAAACATCCAGATCAGCTCTTTTTACAGCCAGGAATTACATAATTTTTAAACTTCCAAATCTCTGATTCAGATACACAAAACTTCTTTTTCCAAGGTCATATATATTATTTTGATATGCACAATGATAATCCCCAAACATCAAGTTAAGAGGAATTACTGATTCATACTTCAAATGAACATCTGAAAATATCTTTATTATGCCCGTTCCTTTTCACTTTTGAGCAATATCTGTTGTTCATTATACTGTATAAAAACAGAACAAAACACAAACTGACATCATATGACTTTTGTCAAGGGATTATACAAGTATTTACTGATCCAGAATAATAAACAAACATAGACTACTTCCACAGGGACAAAGGAGAGAATAATACATTGTCCTAAGAAAAACAGTTCCTTATTTATATTTGAGAGTTTTGTTTACTAAAACTTTTTATATTTTAAAGGTAAGCTTCTGCTAGTTAATTAAAAAAAAAGGAAAAATATTACCATACCAGTGCTTTGGTGTGACCTGAGTCAAACTTATGACTTCATCAAGAATCTCATTCTTTGCTTTTTCAAACAGTTCATTCTGTGCAAAAGGAAGAATATGAAATAATAAGATTTTAAGTACAGTTCAATCATATATATATCATATATAGTTTGATCATATATAGTTTGATCATATCAATCTTTTTAGCAAGGCCTGTTGTGACAGGACAAGGAGTAATGGTTTTAAACAAAAGGAGGGTAGATTTAGACTGGATATAAGGAAGAAATTTTTTACAATGAGGGTGGTGAGGCACTAGAACAGGTTGCCCAGAGAGGTAGTGGAGGCCTCATCCCTAGAAACATTCAAGGTCAGGTTGGACGGGGCTCTGAGCAACCTGATCCAGTTAAAGCTGTCCCTGCTCACGGCACGGGGGCTGGGCTAGATGATCTCTAAAGGTCCCTTCCAACCCAAAGCATTCTATGATTCTGTATTTCCATACAAAGAGTAAAAAAGGCTGTAAGAAAAAGTATTTGGTTTAAGCCTAAAATGATACCTTCTGGTCATGTTCTGGACAACATATGTGCTTGTCATAAGCTACCCTGGTTTACCACACATCTTCCCACCCATCTCTTGCATGCCTCTGGCCAGGCATGGCATTTGAATATTCAGGACCTCTATAAAAGAATTAGAGAATGGGAACATAATTGTTTTGTTACTCCGTCTATCTGAAAGACCAGGGAATGTAACTTCTCTTTGCCAGTTCTGTCATGATGACAAAGAAACACTGACCTATTCCCATGGGCTAGTTAGGTCAGTTAACTGTATACTACAAGAGGGAAGGACTTGTTAAGCATTGAAGCATCACAATTTTGAAGCACACTATTTCATAAAACACAGAGCTCAGTATTTCCTTCCCCTAGAATAATTTACACTGCCCTCACATTTTAAAATATCTCAGTACTATATGTGAACTTTAAGAAGCCTTTACAAATGAGATTAAATGGCGTAAGTTTTAATCCACAACCTTCAACACTTTGTAGCACACAAATTAAAGCAGTAGTGTAATTTACCCTGTCAAGCTCTCGCAACCGGGGGTAATTGTTCTTCCATTCAGTCTCAAGATTGAAACGTGTGGCTGCAAAAATCAGAAACAAGGGCTTAGTTTTTTTAATTGTCTATATGCACTTCATGACTATCTTAAAAGTTTAGCAGCTCCTAAAGTTGCCACAAATCTTGCTTATGACAAACCCTCCAAGAACTTTAAGGTTCTATGCAAATGAGCAAAGTTTTTTGATGTCTGTGCTTCAATATTATGTCTGCAAATTGCAGGATTCATGCACTGAAAAAAAATATAGCGGAAAGAGGGCCATTCAACTTCCAGCTCTGTACAAGCCAGTCCTGCCCAGGCTGATCAGATGGTATCTTTATATAAAGAAGCCATTTTAAACAACAACTGAATCCAACAGAAGAACTGTGTTTTGCCCATTAAAAAAAAATGATTTTTTTTCTTCATACTTCACTCCTTTGGCTTTTCGAGCAAGTTGGTCCTTCATACCATGATTTTTTTTTTTTAATGTATTTTTGTAAAGATCAACTGGGGCAATTACCAATTTGCCCTGGTTTTGGCTGGGATAGAGTTAATTTTCTTCCTAGTAGCTGGTGTAGTGCTGTGTTTTGGATTTAGTATGAGAATAATGCGATAACACACTGATGTTTTAGTTGTTGCTAAGTACTGCTTATGCTAGTCAAGGACTTTTCAGCTTCCCATGCTCTGCCAGGTACACAAGAAACTGGGAGGGGGCACAGCCAGAATAGTTGATCCAAACTGACCCAAGGGCTATTCCATACCATATGACATCATGCTCAGTATATAAACTGGGGGAGTTAGCTGGGGGGCAGCGACCGCTGCTTGGGGACTGTCTGGTATCGGTTGGCAGGTGGCGAGCAATTGCATTGTGCATCACTTACTTTGTATACTATTATTACTATTATATTGTTATTATTATTTTACTTTATCTTATTTCAATTATTAAAGTGTTCTTATCTCAACCCAGGAGTGTTTCTCACTCTTACTCCTCCGATTCTCTAACCCCTCCCACTGGGGCAGGGGGAGAGAGCGAGCAGCGGCGTGGTGCTTAGTTGCTGGCTGGGGGTAAACCACGACACAATTAATGAGAAATGGTGATCATATAAAATACATAACACACAATTGCCCAAGCATGCTAGCAAAACATTATTATATGTATGTGGAAGAACTAACTGTTTAACAGCAAGTTGCTATTTCACTTTGTTTTTGAAAAGATGTTTACCTTTAAAAGCATCTGCTTGCTGCTCCACAGACTCTCTCACCATCTTCCAAAAGCAATCCGACACAGCTAGACTTAAGTTCTTTGTTGTTACCTGGTGTGCCTTCAGCATACATGTCCTGTAAAGAAAGACAGCTAGAGTAAATTCTTCTGTGTATACCCATGCTTTCTGTCCCCCATTTTCTCCTAACAGGATAAAGCTTTGCTTTTTATAGCAGAGAATAACATGTCAATATGCACCTAACCCAAATTCCAGTGTCTTCCTCCAAAATATTCAATGCAGATAATCACCAAAGCAAGGGGAGAAAAAAACCCCATCAACCCCCTAAAACCCCACCACAAATAAATTTTCATTCTAGAGGTTGCAGTGCAGGTACTGCAGTCCCAAAGACCATGCAGCTTACTTTCCTGAGAAATACAAGCCTGTGAAATCAAAACTCTGCTCAGTGAACTTCCAGCAGAACACACAAGCTAACCCTTTGAATACAACATTGTTATCACACCAAGATGACTGATATTTAGAGGCACTACAACTCATATTTGGGCTGGATTCACTCCTCTCAGCTGTATCAAATGCCTAGACATAGGCTGGGAACTCAGTTCTTCTAGAGCCAACGGAGAGATACAGAAACCTCTGGAGAGAGGTTCAGAACTGCAGTGGGATCAATTGCTACCTGAAGATGCCTGTCTCTCTCCATTGACTTACAGCAAGCATTAGGAAACCAGGCCAACTTGGTCACCTCAACAAGATACTTAATTTAAGCAGACAATCTCAAACAGCGTTTCCACACTGCAATCCTTTTTTTAAGTTCAACAAGAAAAAACAATGCTAGCATTTGTAAAAACAGGCTCATTTTAGTAAAAGGAATAAATAGCCACATACTTTAACAGCTTTGAATTTTGAAAAAATTCCTCTTCATATTCTTTAATAGATTCAATGCTTTCACTGCTGTTTCCTGGAGAAAGAAAAGAGTGCTGCAACAGTTCCATTTAGACAGTTTTCTTTGCTATCAAGGAGAAAATAAGCAGAGCCAGAGCTCTCTCTACCTTTTCCAGTAACAACTGCAAAATAACCCAAAGCTTTCATTGGGAAGAGTTTGCCTTCAATTATTTGCTGGATCTGTGAAAATAAAGGATTAAAAAAAAAGGTTAACTTTGCACAGAGATATTCTTTCCTTCAGCACAGTTTTAAAGCCAGATCTAGTTGTATCTATGCATAGACTACTATAAGAAACAGTCTGTCACGGGACTATGAGTCCTACTGATATTTAAAAGAAAAAAAAAAATATATAAAGGCATAAAACAAATACGGCATAAGATAGCAAAACACAAAATAAAGTGAAAAAAGCTATCCCAGAATATCCTGAAGCTTTCTCTGGAAATGGAACTTGCTCAGGTCACCTGCATGAAAGGAACCAGTATTATAGCAAGCTGTGGCCAAGCTGTGACTGAAGTCATGTAGCTGATCACTGAAAGCAAAGCCTGAGATTAAAACAACCACCACCCCAAGAAAATCATACTGAATACAGAAATAAGCACTCAAAACCCGCTAGAACAGGTGGGCGAGGTCCAATATTTCTGACACCATCTCAAGTATTTTCCATATGTGACTTTAGCCATGACAACATGAGAAAAATAGCTTCAACTCACCCTGCTTGGGCTAGCCACATTTTTCTCAGCAAGATCAACTTTAGTCAACACAAAAATTGTCCTTTTTCCTTGGGGATCCATTTGGCTTACTAAGTCTGTGACAATACTGCGTTCTGCATCCACTGATCCATCTAAAATAAACAAAACCCAAGTTATATTTTAGGGACACCGTAATCTAACATGCAGTACCGAACATATAGTAGGCATCAAATAAGTTTCATGTTACAACTTAAAAACAGTAAAATTACACCTATAGTCAACTTTTGGGGACATACAGTGAAAATTTGCTTTGTTCCCAATATCATAAAAAAAATTAGTTTGTAGTAGTTGTGTAAGTTTTGAACAAGTACCAGCTTGCTCAAAATATTCAACTCTATTATTGTCTGTTGCCTCCAAAAACACTTTTGAAAAAATCTTGAATTTTATTTTAATGATAAAACACCTCTTATCAAAAAGTTGCTTTTTGCCACTGATACCAAAGGTGCCTTAACTTACAAACAGACATTCCACAGCATGCTGTTGTGAACACTATACAAATTACCACAAATGGCGGGGGGGGAAAATCAGGAGAGTTCCCAGAGTCACATAAGAATCAGAATTAAAAAATAAAAAATCCTGCCAGTTGGACAACCATCTGGACTCTTATTACCTTGAATACAAAGGATGATGGCATTAGGATTCTGCATGTAGGCCTTGCTGATGCTAAAGATAGTTTCCTTCGTATCTGGAGCCATACCTGATGTCACAGTCTTTAATACGTATATGAAGATATAAATTTAAAGGAAAAAAGAAAACAGAAAGATGTAAAAAAGAAAAACAACAGCTAATGTTCTCACCAATAACACTACCTCACATGTCTTAAAGATTTTTTTTCTTTTTTCTTTTTTTTTTTTTTTTTTAATTGCATACTTACACTAATGACTCCAGGTAAATCAACCAATACCATTCTCTGCAAACCAGGACCTTTCACACTTAAGGAGATGGTCTGTGAAATAAAATTGAAATTAAAGGTTTATACACACACCTACTTTGTATGTAATTACATGCACAGACATACACACGTATTTACACACACATTGCTTTAAACCAGCAACAGCCTGTAATTTTAAATAGGAAGTCCAATTTTATGTGCATGTAATTGTGATATAAAACTGATTTTAACAGTCCAAATATACTTTGTATAGTGCAAAGTATTAAGTATACACAAACTGGATTCACCACAGTCTCATATTTGAAGAATACTTACAAGAGATATACATGTACAGATACTTGCATTAAATATTCGACAAGTCTTACCTCAGTGCTAACAGTGCAGCCTTCCTTCACACTATTTCTCATTCTGATTTCTATTTCATTTCTCAAAGCTGCAAGCTGTTTGGAGAAAAGCAAACCAACATAAGTAAAAGAGCTTACTTAGGGATTTCAGATCTCTGTTTATAAATACTGTCTCAAAGGTATGTTGAATAACTAAGTCTGGCAAACATGGCACTAAATGACAGATTACCTGCAGACCCCTGCATACACCAAAAAGAAAATGTCTTGGCACAACAGCTCCTGCTACATTTTACCCACTTCAGTGCCAGCCAAAAACCATACTAAGACAGAAACTAATATAATGCCTTGCCCCACCAAACATATTTCACTCTAATTAAACAGGGGCTAACAGCCCACAAAGACACAAAATTTTTCAGAGAATTAATAAAAGTCACATTAACTTCCAGTCATTTCTTTATACTTACATCCTCTTCCTTGGTCAGATCAAACTCCCGAGAGCTGTCTTTGAATAAAGCCACATGGTGGGGACCTTCACTAAGAGTCACCTAAATGGTAAAAGGCTTATGAGAAAGTATGGTAAATGTAACCCAGAGAAACATAAGTAGTACATAGCATATGTATACTTCCCAGTGCAGACATACAACTATATGTAATGCTTACTGAGCACAGAACTACTTACAGTAGGAACTACTACTACTCTTACCTGCTCGAGGGTAGGATGGCCCTCCAGAGGGATCTGGACAGGCTGGATCGATGGGCCGAGGCCAACTGTATGAGGTTCAACAAGGCCAAGTGCCAGGTCCCGCACTTTGGTCACACAACCCCATGCAGTGCTACAGGCTTGTAGAAGAGTGGCTGGAAAGCTGCCTGGCCAAAAAGGACCTGG